AGAGAGAGAGAGAGAGAGAGAGAGAGAGAGAGAGAGAGAGAGAGAGAACAGCTCAAATGGCTGGGGTTGCCATGCAGAATTGAGAAACCCCAAAATACAATTAATCATAGGTGACTTGGTATTTTATTGAGCATGGATATGAATTTATTAGGATAACTCTTTAAATATTTACTTGTGTATGCTTCTATAGCCCAAATGTTTCCTATTGTTTGTTTGATGTAATGTAACAACAACAAAAAAGACTTCTGATCGCAAAATGATATCTAGATAAGATAGATAAGAGACCTCATTTACAGAAAATAATATTATTCCAATACATATGGCTAGTATTCCATAATAAACCCAGCTTGAGGCCTCCACAATATTAATGTACTATGTGTTACTTCATCTGAAAGGCATGAGTTTATCTTAGCAAATCCAGGTGTGGAGTATTCAAAATAATTATAGTACATTGAGCTATTTGAGCTGAATACCACCGTAGTGATGGAATAGGTTTTACCTAGAAAAAGCACTCAAAGCATGTGGTGAAAAACAAAACTTTAAGATAAAGAGAGAAGCAAGTGATATGAAATGGGGGAGGAGGGAAAGGAAAGGGGAAGGGGAATGGTGAGAGAGAGAGAGAGAGAGAGAGAGAGAGAGAGAGAGATTGAGAATTAATAGTGCTATCATGGAATATTGTAAAATTCTAACTTTTAACTAATATTGAAAAACTGGGAAATCATTATAGGATTTTTTGAGGATAATTGCAACTGAAGGAGGATGAAAATTGGTGCATTTGATGTCATTTCCTGTCATTAAAGTTTTGCCTTAAGATTGTTAAAAGATTTCTTTGTTAAATCCAAAGCTTGGATTTTATAATGTACTGAGAAACTTTAGGATTTCCGCAAATTATGGTGTCTATTTTGGTCCTAAATGTCTCTTTCTGTCTCTGGTTATATGTTCCTAGTTCCCCTCCCTTTGTTCTGTCACCTGTGCATTTGTGCATGAGCTTGCATGTGTGTGCGCGCACATGTGTGTGCATGTTGGAGCATTAAGTTGTCAAGACTCCGCCGGTGGTTTTCCTAACCCGTTGTCAATTCCCTCTGCCAGTCCATCAGGCAGGCAGGCAGGCCCACCCTGGCAGAGTGCCCAGTGTAAGACTCTTCTTTCTCAATTCTCCCCCCAGACACACCATCCTGAGAAGCCACTTTTTCCTACCACAGGAAGCCCAAGAGAACACTCTAGCTAGCAGTCTGACAGCCAAACTGAACCCTGGCCTTTTGTATCCTGCCAGGTTTGAAAAGCTGGACATCACCCCTAAAAGTGCCCAGAAGATCAAGCCGGTGCTTGAACGGTGGATGGCTGAGGCTGAGGCCCGCCATCGGGCAGGTATGCAGAACCTGACCGAGTTTATCGGGAGCGAGCCCTCCAAAAAGCGCAAGAGGCGCACCTCCTTCACGCCCCAAGCCCTGGAGATCTTGAATGCCCACTTTGAGAAGAACACACACCCTTCAGGGCAAGAAATGACAGAAATTGCAGAGAAGCTGAATTATGACCGAGAAGTAGTTAGAGTTTGGTTCTGCAATAAAAGACAGGCCCTGAAGAACACAATTAAACGTTTAAAACAGCATGAGCCGGCCACAGCCATCCCAATGGAGCCTTTAACAGACTCTCTGGAAGAAAATTCCTAAAGGGAGAGAAAAAGAGACACACACACACACACACACACATACATACATACACATACACACACACACACACACACACACACACACACACCCCAACCAAAAACAAATGTAAGAAAAGGAAAGCCTGTCACTGGAACTGGGCAATTGTAGCTCCATTTGTCACCCTTGTAAGTAAAAGACTGAGAAAACAACAAAGTGGACAGAACACTTTCTAAATGTCCATGTGATTTTCCAAAACAATTAAAATGTTCATGAAGAATGCACCACACTTGCTGTGTGTGGTAGAATTTGCCCCCCCCCACTTTCCCCTCCCCCCAAAAAGCCAGTTTTTTAATGGACTGAAAGTAAACCAAATAACTGAGTGCATTTTTCTGTATATTATGAAAATGTGGACACATTTTAAGGGGAAAAAAGCAAAAAACAAAAAACAAAAAAGCAAACCAACTTGTATGTGTTCAAAGAGAATACAAGCCTGCCACCTGGAGGGGAGAATGTAACCTTCCAAGTACCAAGTGCTGATTCACTCTGGAACCTATTAACCAAAGTCAGAAACATGGCGCTGCCAACTCGGTTGATTGTTAGTCTACACTTTTATGAGTGTAAAGTTGTGTTATGAATTTTTACATTTGTACTTTCCAGAAATAATAGAAAGTCTGGTTTTTCCCATCTCTCCTGCCCGTTATTCTCACCAGTGGGGTGGGATCTCTTCCTGAAGCCATCCTGTGACACTCATAATGATTTGTTGTCTGGGGCTGAGTGGTCTCCAAGTGGCCATGCGCCAAATTAGTGGTATTTTCCTCTCATGAGGACTTGTGGGTTTAAAAGAAGAAAAAGAAGCAAGTGACATTTGTTCCTTCTCTTTTATGGATTTCTGTGCCTCTCCCCACATCTGCATCCCCAAAATTCTGCCTAACCATCCTAAGAGGGGGAAACTAAAAGCATCTTTCCACTTTGACTCTGATGGAATAGAACTGGGAAACTTTGAGCTAACTAGGAATACTCTCAATGGACTGTCACCGTTAGCCCATGCTGTAATTGTGCTCATTGCTGTCCACAGCATGGCTCTTGGTTTTTTTCTGTCTGCTGACATGGAACATGGAGCGCTCACCAAAATTCATTTTGTAAGAGAAATAGAAATTGCACAGTTGGTTCAATACTTCCATGCAATATGAGGCAGCCAACACTTACTTACATCCCTGTGTTGGGGTCCTATGCAAAACGATTTCTCTCCAAAGTCTTCTAGCCAAAGAAATTTCTTGAAATGCCAGTAAAAAATACACATTCATACATATGCACCCCCATTCCCAGAGAAACAGGTCAACAAATAAACAAAGCTGTTAGGGTTGTTACAGCCTATCACATAATGTTATACTGTTCGCCTCATGCTTTCTGCCATATCTTTTTTCATTCCAATATTGATTGTCAGGGCTTGGTTTTTGTTTTTTAGGGGTTTTTTGGTTTTGGGTTTTTTTGCACTGGACTGTCACTCTAGAACTATATATATTATCGGGGCAGTGAGTTAATAGTGGGTGGGGATGATGAGTCACAGAGAAAAGTAATAATCAAAATTCAAGAGTGAGTTTAAGAGATGAGAGAAGCTCCATGAGGATAGAGAACAGTCCACATATAAGGTATATTAGTTGAGATAGAGGGACCGGCAGACAAAGGGAGATAGAGAGAGAAGGGAGAGAGAAGAGGAGAGGGAGACAGAAAAGCAAAATAGAAGAGAGAGGGAGGAGGGAGAGATGAGGGATAGATAGAGAAGAGAGAGAGAGAGAGGAGAGATGGAGAGAGAGAGGAGAGATGGAGAGAGAGAGATTGCTCACAGTTTTTCAGAAGATCCTTCAGAATTGGGACAAATAAATTTATTTTATCTTGAAAAATTTACCATCTTTTCCTTCCATTTGATGAATGGACAGAAAGAATATTGTGAAACTAAGAGAAGGTAGAAGTGACAACTAGTTCATGGATTGAGTTTTTTAGCTCTTTGGCCTTTTCCAGTGGATGTAGATGGGAGGTATTTGTTTAAATGGGCATGAAGGAGGGATTTGCATATGTTTCCCTGTTGTTGAAATGTAAATATCTGTTTCTAATAAATAATAATGTTACATGTAATAGTTTCAGGCAAATTTTCAAAGAAAAAACCACCACTACCCCTGCCCTCAAGGTGTCCAAACATTTGCACTGCCCACAGCAATGTCCAACCCTAATTTTGTTGTGGCTCCGTTTGTTTTCCCCTATTGGTTAGTCTGCTAGTAGTAATGTCAATACTGCGGGAGATTCATTAGGTCTGTTGAATTCATGCAGTGTTTGGGAGACCACATCAAAACCAGCAGGGGAACTCAAAAAAGCAGATGCTCCTGAGGTTCCCATCTCTCTGGCACACTGGCAACTGGACCACAGCTTCTTTCAACATCAATGTCAACAATGCCACTAGACCCATTCCATCACTTACTTACCCACTCCACCCCTCACTGGCACCCATCACCACCACCAAAACTGCATAAATACTTATAGGCTGGGAGTCAAATGACCAACTTTTCTTCACTGAAAAACTCAATGCATATTCTCCTAGGAACTGCTCCAATTTCAACAAAGAAAAACTCCCCAAGAAGAAAAGTTCACAAGACCCAGAACGATGGATGCTAAATGTTTAATCATATGCCAGGAGCAGTTATATGAGGTCTGCTCAGTTCTGAGATCTATATTGGGAGAGAACAACCAGGATGGTGAAATGTAAAATACATATAATCTTCCAGAGTAGCGCAAAAAGGAATCTATTCATCCCACAGTCGTGAAATCATTCATGTGCAGTGATTTTTTTTACAGCTTTCTAATTTTGTATTATGTTTTGTAAATTATTTATAAGGTGTTGTAATGCTTCTTATATTAATTTTTTACAAACAGATTTTTGGTATGAGGCATAAAGAGGTGCCTGAACAGGTTCTTGGGGATATAAATGATGTACGTGTGTGTAACTCACTTGTGGGTCTCGTGGACCACGCCTACGGTTTGACTCCAATGCTGACTCCATTGGGAAAGGACAGTGCATTTTCATGTTTCCGTGTCCCTGAAAGTTAATATTGCCACCAACGATTCACAACAGAAAGCAGTTTCCAGCTCATGGGATTGTCTTTTGAGCATTGCCCCTCGTTTCTGACTGATTTTGAGCTCTCTTCATTATTTCTACCTGACACGCGGGCCAACAATGCTGTTCCTTTCACCTTCCGTTTCTGTGATTGGTTTATGGTTTTCTCCAGCATGGATTTTGGGAGATTTCTTCCAACCAAAAGCTGTTTTGGAGAGTTGCAAATATAAAAGCATTCAGAGGTTTCAATTTATTTATGTTGTACCAACCCACATCTACTCCCCTACCAAACAAACATACACGCACACACACACACACACACACACAAACACACAAACACACACACAAAGAGAACAAGGAGGCAAAAGGAGCTAGAAAAGAACAAGTAGAGGCGTACAAAAAACTCAAGCTATAACCAAAAAGTAATTATGAATTGCCTTTGCTCGTCTTCTCAATGCTGGACCAAAGCTCAATGTATGTAGGTATATGCACATTGTATAGATATGGCTAAATGTTGCTGACAATCTTGCAATACTAAACTGTTTCTATTTAAGAAAAAAAGATAAACTGTTCATCAGTGTTTACCTCAGCACTCTACTTGTACCCCATTAATGACCAACACAAAATGAGAGACAAAGATGGAGAAAACAGAATTGAATTTCCATGTCAATGTTTGACTCTAAAATCTCGTCGGGATAACATTTTGTAATGAGCTTTTTGTCACGTGGTTTGCTCGTCTCTGATTTGAGATTCTGTGAGGCACACTTGTTAGTTTCTTGTCAAGGAAGTGAGTTTCTGGTTATTATTTTGATGTCCTCTGTGCTATAATCTACAGAATGGTCACCAGGGTCACTAATGACGCCCTGCCAAGAGATCTGCTTTTCCATGCATGCTGCACGCTGCAGGAAGGGGGCAGTACAAAGAGGGACTCTATCGTTTTCCAATAATAATAATAATAAGGATATTGATATTAGAGGAGTTGCCATGATGGACTTGTGACCAAGAAGCCAAACTGGATATTTAAAAGCTCCTAACTTGCTCTGACATTGAAACCAAAGCTGATTTACCTGCACAGGTTGCTTAATGTTAAAAAAAAAAAAAAAAAAAAAAACACTGACAAACTGTACTTTATCTAGAGCAATATCTGTATGGTCAGTAAAGCTGCACTTTGTGTATTTCTTAAACAGCTTCAGATCTGTCACTTTTAATTTGTACCATAAAAAATAAAGAATTGTTTGACATGAGTTTGTAGCTGACATCTGTCTTCAACTCAGGTGTATTATTTTCATGATCAGTGTTCACGTGATGTCACCACCAAAAGTGTTGAGTTCATATTGCTATTAAATCACATTTTAAATGGAATGTTTGTGTCTTCCACTAATGTCCTCCCCCAAAACCATATTGGTGGAGGTGATCCTGCATTCTAACCCCAGGGAGCATAAGCGCCAGAATGGGCCAGAAATTCTTCAGGTAGGAGTCCAGCAATCAATTTTATCTGTCATCTAAGAACCAACCTCGTTATATTCTGGAGGCTTCTCACAAGTTTGGCCTAAGAGTGAACAATGTCAAACACCACAAATCTCAAAGAATAAGAAGCAGAGGAGTTGCAGTCTGCATTGCTGAAGAGAATCTCCACATCAACACACTGAAGGATCTTTGTCATATGGAAGGAAGGAAGGAAGGAAGGAAGGAAGGAAGGAAGGAAGGAAGGA